GTACGACCACTACTACGACGACGACTACTACTGCTGCTACTCCTGCCTGTGCTCCTGCTCCTGCTCCTACTCCTACTCCTGCTGCTGCTGCTACTACTACTACTACTACTACTACTACTACAACTACTACTTCCATTACTACTACTACTACTTCTGAAAAAAATTACTAGTATTATTATTGCTACTACTATTACTTTTATTTCTACTATTGCTATTGTTTTTTGTAATGAATACAGTATTTTTGTTACCAGTATTATTGACTATTACCAACCATAATTTTCTTTACTATTTCTATTACCATTACCCCCACCACCACTACTGCTACTACTGCGGCGGCGGCTGCTGCTGCTACTACTACTACTACTACTACTGTTATTACTGCTACTATTACTACTACTACTACTACTACTACTACTACTGCTACCATTGCCATTGCTACTATTACTACAACCACGGGTGTTTTTATTTTTCTTATTGACACCATCACCACCACACCACGTCAGCTATTGCCACTGCTGTTGCTGAAAAACGATTACCATGGTCGTAATGGAAACAGCTACCCAGTACCATTATTGTTGATCCTACGTTTGCTGCAGTTCCTTGGGGCGATACCAACCACCACTCGTATTTTTGCTTGCGTTTGCGAAAACTGTTGCAATTGTTGCCGGTTGCCGGCCGCGGCTACGTCCTTTGCTGCCAGCTTGCTTTCCCTGCCAGTCTCCGATACTGCAAATTTTGATGCCGAGCCGCCTTTGCTCACCGTCCTCGCTGACTCAGCCGAATATTCCGCCAAGTCACCTCCCCTGGCCTCCGCCTTGCGTAGTGCGTGTGTGAGCTCTGCACGGCCGGAGCCCTTGTTGCGCTGCGACCGCGTGGATGGTTGCAAAAAGGTGTGTGAGAGAACAAGCGGTTGAAAATGTTGCTGCCTCACAACTTGTTCTACCTCTTGTCGCCGTAAAGATTACCATAGACGCTGCCACCACCACCGCCAATGCCGCCACCACCACCAGCACAATGACAACCGCATAGACCTCAATGGCCCCAGTCCCCACTCACCCCCGTCTCACTCGCAGCAACGGCCGACCCCGTTGGCCTGACACGTGGGTGGCAACTTAATGATATTCTTCCGTTTTTGTGCTAGGCGGCTTTGCCGCACTGGAATCGCGGTCAAAAGCCAAGGGAGAGCTCCTGGCGGAGCCGACGCCGTAGGCGTCCTGTAGCCGGCAGCTAGCTCCGCCCGACGCGCGAGCGGACCAGTCGGAAAAAGGCGCGCGAGAAAAAAAAACAAATGCAACGTTGCCGTTGTTTTCGCTACCAAACCCGTCGCTCTGGGTTGTCCCTCAGCTGCGCGGCTGTCTCGAGTGTTTTGGCAGGCCGGTTGTGAATGGGCTGAACGGGGTGTATGCTATCGTTCGCAGTGCAGCATGCCGTCGTCGGGGGGCGGCTCCCGGTTGTTTCCCTGCAGCGCTACGGGGCAGGAACTGGCCTTCGACCACGTCCTCGCGCTCGCGGCTGCAAGTCGCAGTGCCGTCGCCGCACTTTGCATTGGCGTTCTACGCAAAGGAGCGCGCTTACCCTGAGCTCCGTCAGCCTGCAGTTCGTTGTCCCCGCCCTGGACCCCGGTTTTGCCCACCTCCGTGTCGGGCCGTTTTGTTCCTCTCGCTGGTCAGCCCTTGAGTCCTGTTTCCCCACTCCGTCCGGCAAGAAATGCCAAGAGACTTGACCACATGAAAATGCGCACAAAACCCCAGCATTTTTGCTTCAGCACGGAAGATGCCTAGAGATGCCAAAAGACGTGACAACATGAAAATGTGCACAGAACCCCATTCCGACAAGCATTGTTGCTTCAGCACCGAAGATGCCAAGAGACGTGACAACATGAAAATGTGCACAGAACCCCATGCCGACAAACATGTTTGCTGCAGCACGGAAGACGCCAAGAGAAGCCATGCATCCGGGAGCCGAGGACAGCTTCAAGGAGCTAGCGACAAATGAAATCAGGAGACATGGCCTGGAACAATATTCAAAACCTTATCAGAACGATAACCGAAGTTTCGAGAAGGGTGTCATTTCCGAACACTTTCCCACTTGTTATCGGAACCCTGTGTACCAGGTCCCTACCAACAACCTTCAGTTGTGTAGGGAAAATTTCACGGCACGGCAGAGCAGTCATGTCCTGGCGTGCTCTTCCACACGAGGATTCTCTTCGGACTTTGGCCGTGAGCCTTCAAATGTTTAAGGAATATTTAATTCTCGACATGACTCGACGTGCCTGCCAAGCACTTGCTCTGTGATGCTTATGCCGCTGATGCCCGTTTGATGTGTACAACGATATACTGCACCCAAAAAACCGAAACTAGCAAGACAAAGACGCTTTCGCGTGAACCGATATTGACCATCGCTCATTTGAGTCGGCCAAATGTCTTTCGATGTGGCCAAACGTGCTTGTCAAGGACTTGAATGTCGAGCCTGCACGCCAAGACGACCGACGCATTGAGGTCATCGCCGATGGCCTGCCGCCGTTTGGTGGTGCCCAGCTTGCAGTCGACACCACGCTTGTCTCCTCCCTTACTGCTGCTGGCCTCCCACGCAGGGCTGGGGGGCGTATTGTCGGAGCGGCCTTGCTCATTGCAAGACGAGCTAAGGAGCGCACATACCCCGAGCTGTGCAGGTCCAACCGCTGCCGGCTCACGGTCATAGCCCTTGAGATTGGGGGGCGCTGGAGTGCCGAGGCCGCTACCTTTGTCCGCTTGCTGGCACGGTGCCGTGCGCGGTCTGCGCCACCACCCTCGCGCGCTGCTGCCATCTCGGCTTTTACTCTCCGCTGGTCTGCACTCCTCTCCTTCGCTGCCGCCGTTCTTTCGCAGCCAGCCTGCTGTCCCTGCCCCTCACCGGCACGACCAATGTTGACGGGAATGTACCACCTCTGAGCGACATCCTCGCCGACTCGCCTTCCCAGCCGCCGCTTGCTAGCCGTGTTGTGTGAAAGCGCTCTGCGCTTCTATGCTTTCTGCCGTAGTCTGTTGCCCTGCCTTTGGGTTTCTGCACCGGGACCGCGCTGCTTCGGACGATAGCAAAAAGGTTCGTTGGAAAAAAAAACGTGTCCATCCTCTACAGCAGCGGCAGTGCCCGGACTTCGCAATGTGTCGCCCACAACACACCTGCATGCAGCTTAACGCTTGGAGGCCTACTGCACGGATACTTTTGGCATGCTTGGAACCGACACATGTCGACACCACTTGTGGAAGAAAATGCGAGTGGCAGGTCGGCAGCTATGGCGGGGCTGGTAGGGTCGCGCATGCTCACTTTTCGTTGACATGCCATGCGCGAAAAGGTTGCACATGCGCGGATGATTTCCTGCCAGGGGCTCAGCCATGGATTGATAGTGGGCGGCAAGTTATCATGCAACGAAATTGTGAGCTGCACGGGGTTGAAAAGGTTGATCGTTTTTGTGGTCCTCATGCTCGGTTATTTCGGCTCCAAGTTGACCGAAGGTAATCGCTGAGAGGCGTTGCCTGAAATCAAAGATGCCGGGGTCGGCCCGTAGTTTGAGCAGTAGCCCACCTTAGCCAGTCTAGCAGCTTCACTTCTGCATGTAGTCAGCAAGACCAGTATATGCCAACCATCATACAGCCTAGCCTGCAAACATCGGCCGTTTTCCGTGCCGTGTCCTGCACCGCCGGTCGCCCAAGCAATTGCAAGCAAACTCATATCTCGCCTTCTGACCTGAGACATGTCATTGTTGGTTTTGTGCTGCTTGCCATGACCCGAACTGTATCTGCCAAGGGTTACAGGGGGTTCACGTGTTCACGAAAAACTTAAGCGGGAGGTCCGGTTAGCGAGCATGATTTAAGCTGAGGCGCTCGCCTAACTCCGTGGTGTTCGGAAGTTGTTTACAAGATGGGTTTGGGATTCGTGGGCGTACTAGGGGCAAGCTGCATGGTGTTGTTTGGCGCCGATGCCCGGTTCAAGGCATAGTTTTGCTTCCGAGTGTCAGCCTTCCAGCTTCTCCAATTCACACGATGGCCCGAGTTGCAACAAGAACGTTGCGAATCGTTGGAGCTGGCGTCATCGTCACTACTTGCTGTTTGGGTTTCGTGCCGCCCAGCACAAAACCAGCTCAGGCAGGCATTGATTGTCACACCGAACAGCATGCATTGGCCAGGCATGCACATGTTTTTCCCTCAGGCCGTGCCGCGGGCAAAGTTCCAAGCCAAGTGGCAGAATGACGTTGGTGGTGGACATTCGGAACCGGAGCCAATCAGCAATGCGGCGTCCAGCTGGACCACATTTCTCAAGATGTCGGCGGCCGCTTGCCTTGCTCTTGTGCACCTTGCTTGCATTGTTGTGAAAACTTTCGGGTTGCAGGGTTACGTTGTGCGACAAAATGCTCAGATATTGGTAGGTAACAGCCGGTGTGTTTTGCAACTTTCTTGTGACATGTACCGGTGCGACACCATCTCCCAGAAGCTTGTTCGGGCCCAACTGCCAAATTGAGGATAACGCTCCTACCATTGGACAGTGCAGAGGCTGCAAGAGCTGGTGGGCGCATGGGCGGCAGGTGCGGCAAACAGTCCAAACACTTGAAGATTTGCCAACCTGAACGGCTAAAGCGCGAGCGGGCACCACACATGTGGCATTGTTGCGCGCCAGGATGTCAGGAATGCGGTCGGCACCAAGGCAGTTGGGAATGCGCTCGCCAAACAAACCATGACCCAAGGCGTTTGAACCATACGGTTATAAGATGTTAGAAGCATCCCAGGCCTTGTTCCGGGTACGGTTAGTGCGTGCTGCTCGCGCGAGCACTGTGTGGCAATGTCAACATTGCACAAAGTCCATTCGAAGTACCTTGTCGGATTCGTGCAGGAGCTTCTACGTGGAGGCTGTGCATGTGCTGACCCCACAATTAAGGTTTTGGCCGCGCTGTCAAAAACAAGAGAAATTATCAGAAACTCCTGCCCGAACCCTAAGCCCGAAACCCCAAACCTTCAGATGCATGCAGGATGTCGGCGCCCCGCAGTAGGCCGAGCAGCCGCCCACCACCAACTACACGCCAAAACAGCGGCAGTGCCCGGCTCCTGCCCCTGTTTTCAGGAGTCTGTAAGGGATTGAAAATTGAGGGATCCTTTCAGTGCCTTTCAGAGTTCTTTTTTGTTCCTTTATGCGCCTTTGCTGATTTTGCTTTGAGCCTTTGGCCACAACCCCTGAACCAGGTATTCCATGCCTTGTGACAACCAGCTGCATTTCCACAATCCCCAATTCCGGATTGAGCTGCGCCAAGCGCCAGGAAATTTGGGTTTTGGGAAAAAGCGGGCAGGGGATGAACCAGGACCCCTTGGGCATCCTTAGACATCTTGCGTGCATATAATCCGGACATAGTTGGCTTTGAATTGTTTTGCTGGCCATCCTCGTTCATGCCCTTGTGTTTGGCAGAAAGAGTTGTAATCTATTTAATGCTGACAGACTGACGTCCAATAGTACCGCCCGAATGTGCTTGCGAGGTTGAGGAGTGGACCGAACGTTTCCATCGGTTCCTTGGCGGCACAACTTGTGTTGTTTTGTGTTTGAAGTCGTTGAAGTCTCAACCCGTTAAGGTATGTCGCGTTTGCTAGAGGCTGACTCGTGGTGATCTGCGAGCAGCGACGGGTGTGTTTGTTTGTGTATTCTGTTTGTTTGTTTGTTTGTTTGTTTGTTTGTTTGTTTGTTTGTTTGTTTGTTTTGGCAAACCGTCTGTTTTGAAGGCTTGGGCCCGGAGACCTTACCACCAAACGCCTGCGGGGCTTGTAGTTCCAAGCCTGATACTTTTTCATGATCCCACCTCAAGTCCCAACCCTCGCTTGCGGTGACGGGGTGACTCTCGGATCTTTCGCACCCAATCTTTCTACCTATGCTACAAATTTAAAACCCTAGAATTTGCCCTGAAAGCCCTGGAAATCCTTCAACACCTCACCACAAGCCCTATAAAATCCTAGACATGCGAAAGCCACCAAAGTATCGGTAACCTCAAGTTCTGAGCCTTGTGCTAACTGTTAACCAGGCATCGGCAGCCCTGTGATCTCGCCCTTTGGCTTCGGCGGCTTTGGCTACAGTCCATTTGGCTTTGGCTTCGGTGGAGGAGACGAAGGGTTCTGGCGTCTTAGGGTTGAGGCCCTTCCGTTTCCTGGCATTCAGCAAGTCCGGGTACGTAAAAGGTTTGAGGCTTTTGTCTTTTGTTCGGCTTAGGTTTACATGCGGTGTGGAGCTTCAAGGGTCTACTTACTCTTTAAGGTTTCTGGGTTCAAGGTGTTTACAGTTTAGGCCTTACAAGGTTTACAGGGCTGGTATGTTAGAGGTTTGAGGGTGTCGACTTATGCATGATTTTGGTCGCGTAACGGGCGGTCCTGCAGTATAGAGGCCGAAATAATCACCTACCTGTTTTGTGGGTTCCTTGTAGTATACTACCCTAAAAAAACATTCCGATTATTAGAGCTCTGATGGTAGATTCTATAGGCTCCGGGTGATGCGGAGACTCTGCCAAGAATTAGACGCTGATAGCACGCATAGCTGACTCTCCTTCGGGTGCTCGGGGTCACCAGGCCACGGAGAGATACCCGCATTTCGTGGTTGTTCATGAGTATAGGTGCGCACACACACACACACACATATATATATATATATATACATACAATTTTCCCTAAATTTATAGTGTGCCTGCAAGCACAGGTGCACATGTCCGGTAATCCCAAGCTGAAGTGCTACTTACGAACCTATGGTACTGTGAAGAGTTACCCATGAACCTTCAAACAGACCCCTACCTTGCTCCATGCGCCTTGCATGACCTGTTCTTCAAAGGTTCTTGCAACCAGAAGAAACATCATGTTGGGTTTAAGGTTGGAACCCTAGATGCAAGCAAGGGTAGGGTTTTCGTGGTGGGTTGAGGGCTTTGGTGTCTTCGTTCTTGAAGTTGTTTTTTTGAATTGGGGGCTCGTTGGTCGTGTGATGTGGAATTCATTTGTCGGGTGCGGGAGGTCTGAAGTGTCAGGAGTCTAGCTTGGTTGCTGATCAGGCGTTCACTTGCTTGTGCCTGAAGAACTCGAGACCAAACCTTTTAACTTCAAATCCTATGAGCCTGAAGCCCGACTGTCGCGGGCAGGACTCCCAGTGCCGGTGCCAAGTGGACCATCCAACACCGACCAGATGCTTCAGAACCAGCAGGTTCAGGATGCGCTTCAGGGTTCTGTGGCTCCCAGCTGCAAAACACATTTAAGGCAGGACGCGGCTCAGGGATGAGACCTGGATAACAATAATGGGAATTTCCAAGTGGGTCACCCATAAACTCCCAGCATCCTCGGTTCGAAGTGATAGAAAGGTTTCTAATGAATGATTAGTCATTCTACCTTGAGGGTTTTACAATGTGTATATATGTGTATGTATACAGGTAATGCCCGAAAACTCTACGAGCCTCTAGGCTGTTCTTGAATTTATACCACCGTGTCTGAGTGAGGATGGAAGGGTTGCAGGACTCCTAGCCGCTAGCCACTGGTTCTAATTCGCTAGCTACTGGTTCTATTTTTTGCAGCTTGAACTTCAATGCCAGAGCTTCCAAAAAGTCGATACCAAAGACCCATGACTCCGCTGGCTTGTTACCTGAGGTCTGTGCTAAACAAGCAAAGCCAGCTGTCACAATCACGCGTTGCAACTGCATTCCGAAATGGGAGTTTCCGGAAATAAGGGGTACCTTATTTTGGGGGGTCCTTATAATAAGGATCCCATTATTTGGGGTACTATATTAGGGTCCCCTATTTTCGGAAACCCCCAAATCACGAGGATGAGCGCAAGATCGACGAACAGAATCGGGAGATCGCAGAGCTGAAGCTGCTTGGTTTTCTTTTTTTCGTCTTATGAAATGAGTTTGGTTGCGGTGCTGTTTAGAAGTTTACAAGTCCAGGATCATGTTACATTTAGGTTGAGTTTGAGGGGTTGGCATCATGGCTTCCGGGCTCAATAGCCTAGCTTGACCGTTCTCCGGGGCAGGTTTAACTCACAGACATGCTGAGTTCATGTTGAGGTACTTTCGGTGCAGTTGTGGTCTTGCGTTTTCAATGACTATTGTGATGAGGCCTGACAGCTGTAGGACTGAATTTCTTAATCGTGATTATACACCCCAAGCCTCTAAACCCTAAACCCCTAAACCTTGTCGGAACCCTTTAAGCTCCAAAACGGAAACCTGAAAACCGTGGACCTCAGACTTTACACTCTTTAATCCAGCCCGAAGCCTGATCCACTGAACTTCACGCGAGCCCTGAGCTTCCTGAGGAGGCAGATCACCGAGTTGAAAGGGCAGCAGCCAGCTCAGAACCAGCAGGTGCAGGAGAGTGTCGCGGTCTTAGGGCTGAGGGGTTTAGAGATTCATCGGTTTAGGGTTTGGGCTTAGAGGTATGCAGTTTAGGGCAGGTGTAGGGTTTCGAAGTTGTGGGCCCAAGAAGCGTCTTCCGGGCCAATGATTACTGTGGGAAGTTTATGTAACGGCTGCCCGAGCAGAACGACATGTTATGCTACAGTGCTAGGTCCGTGTGGGTGGACTTTCTTCATCGCGAGAAGCTAAACGCATACCAAACCAGAAAGGCAGAATAATTTCTCGAAGACAACTTGCCCTGCTCGCAGCCTTCAGTTTTATGCCGCGTCCAAACATAACTGTTGGGCTATATTTTGTGCATATTGTTTCTAGCCGTCTCGTAATCTGTTGCAAGAATCTGGTGTCCCTGGCACTTGAAGCTTTGCAAATGTTCAGGCCGAAGCCCCGAAGCATCCATCTAGACTTCAACCTGCACAATTGGGAGTTGAAGGTTTATCAGGCTTCAGGGTTCAAGGTGCTGCGGGGCTTGAGGGACATACTTGAAACCCAGCTTTGGAAGCTCCAGGAGTCTATATAGAGTACTAGAACACCCTAAGCCTGAGTGTACGCGTGTACGCTGTTCCAAACTTGCAGGGCCTATGCGGAACCTTGTGCAAATAGCAGCCCATCCCAGAGCCGGAACTCAAATCACGGTCGAGTTGCGAGAGCACAAACTTAACCAACCCAACCCCTATTATTGTAGGGGCTTGGAACCCAAAAGCGTGAAGTTTTTGTCCCTTCAGCATTGGAGCTTTATAGACCCTTTGACCCTGAAGGCTAAGCCCATAACCCTATATCCCTTGAACCCTAAGCCTTAACCCAAAAGCCCTCCCATAGACCCTAGGCAATCCTTTTCCGCCATCCGGTGTCAGTCAGGATGCACGGACGCTGAACGAGCAGAAGGACCAGATTGCCGACCTAAAGCTCTTTAACTGTTACTGAGTTCCCCAATACCCAACCTTTCAATGTTTTGGGTTCTCATAGTTTATCAGTAATCGGAAAGTTTAACCTTTTTGTTTCTGTGGCTTATTGGGGAGGTAGGTTGAGGGTTTAAATAGGGTATAGGGCTCAGGGCACGTAGAGTTGTCGACTCTTAGTTTCTGGGGTGTCGTGGCTTTTCTTTATTGATGGTTCTCACTTTAGGGCTTTGAGTTGCCAACCTTGAGGCATTGGTTTTTAGTCTCAGCTTTTTGTGCAAACAAGTTGCTCGGTTGTGACGTTGTGTTCGGGCTTCGATCTGTTTTCTTTGATCGCCGCTGAGGAAGCAAATCATGGCTCTCATGGGCCAAAAATCCTAGTTCCACTTGACGCCAGAAGTGCGTAGGGAGATCCTTTGAATATGGAAGATGCCAGTGGTCGCTGGTCATCCTCCGCGTCTCTATATCTGCTGATGTCACGGCATGGCAAACCGTTTGGCCGCTTCACCCGATAATCAGAGCTGCTACCTACAAGCTCAAACCCTGAAGCACTGAAGTTGTGCGCCAGCTACTGGGGCCAGGATCTGCGAGTTTTTGGCATGCCTGACATCATTCAGCTATGTCCAGTGGCGTGAGATGCTTCATCCGTTTGCCTCGCACGAAAGGAAACTGAAGTTATCAGATGTTATCAAGATTAGTACTATTAAGTACCCAGACCTTCTTCCCACTCTCTACAAGGTCTTCAATACCCACCATCAGGACCACAAAAATACCCCATTTGGGGGTACAAGGAGGGCCCTTGTAGGGTTTCACATGTACATTTATAACCAAAACCCTTCTAGAGAGGCCGGAGCAGGTTCGAAGGCTACGCTACTTCAGATAAGGAAACGTTGGCTATAGTAGCGGTTTAAACTCCTGCAACGTGGAGCTCAGGCTGTAAGTTCTGCCGGCGCCATAGTGTAAAAGTTTAGTGCTTGCAGCCTTCAGCCCCGCTGGTGATATGGTGCAATGTCAGGGCTCAGGAACACCACTGGACGGGTTGGATTGGCACAGACAAGTTCCACCCCAACGTTTCGCGCCAGGTCGGCGCCGAATGTAGTTGAAGGGGCCTTTCTCAAGAAAGCCTCAACGAGCCCGCTGCTTGTGAAGATGCAGTCGATAGTACATGCAGCTTCTATCGAATCACCGCCATTCTCTGTTGAAGCCTACTTGAAGCCATTCAGCAGTGCTCGACTCTGAAGGCATATCATGTTGCTGCTTGTCAGTGGCCGAAAACGGATTTCAGGCAGAACCTGGATTGTACAGACGAGCCACTGCTACGGGAATGTTGCACGTGTGCCCCAGCGACCAAAAAGCTTTCCTTTAAAGGCACTATCCGTTGGGGATCTTGATCACTGTAGTTGATATCCCACAAAAGCACTGGTCGAACTACAAGGGCCCCTGTTGCCGACGGAGGCTATGTTGAAGTGCTATCTTGGGTTTAGGCGCTGCGAATTTCGGGGCCTTGCGGGTTTAGAGTGTAGAGCTTAGGGCCTGTAGGGTTTAGGGTTCAGGGC